TTTAAAATCACTTGCTGTAAGAGAGAGTAGATTAAAAAGAAAAACATCTGGAAAACTCATAGTGTCTAATTTATACACCGAGAGAAAGTCATCTGGCATACAAAACTCTACACCTTGAATGTTAGTGCTTTCCTTTGTTGGAAGGCTATGCAGTGTATTTCCTCAATTTTCCATTTAGATAAATGACAAGATAGATGTTCTGTAAATTGAATCCTAAAATGATCCAGTATCTTTCTTTTACTGTCTTATCAACTGCTTCTCAGCTGAAACCATGTTTAAAACTCTTATAATTTTTTTCTTTGTTGATATTACCTTGCTGGTATAATGCAATAGCATCAGAAAAAGAAACATTTTTCAAGTTTACTGAATTTTTCAATTGAAGTATTTTCATTATTCATTTTAGATTTGTTTGTCTTCTTATGATTACTTTTTACTGAAAAGCTCAGGTCATTTTAAGTTCTACAACTGTTAAGTAAACAATATGAATTTGAAATAAATGGATGAGAGTTCAAATCTCATCAAAGTCTATGTTTTTATTTTCAAGTCATATTGCTTACTTAATAGTCAAAATCACCTGAACAATGCAAAAATAAAAACTGAACCCACAATAAATTTGAAAGGAAACTAATTAGAAATTAATCATTTTTCTATATTTACTAATTTAGAAATAAACTGTAACACTATTGCTTAATCACTGTATCTGATAACATATAATACCTACCACTGTTTACATTCAGTATTAGTATTATATATTGGTAGTCTACAGCATCTGTGTAAACATTAGTCTACCAGATACCTCAACATTGGATATAAAAAATGGAAGAAATTTTTAACCATTTTTTAGTGGGAGGGAAAGTATGGCACCAAATAGAATAGAGCCATAATTTTTTTTATTTAAACATATCATTTATAATATGAATTGACTTGGGTACCTCGAGGTGGTGTAATGGTTAGCAAGCTTGTCTCACTAGAACAATTACAGCTGAGTAGTGAGTTCAATCCTCAATGGGTGCCCCTTACTTTCGGCCTTGAGCCACATCCAAGCTACGCTTGGAAAATCACTATAATATGAATTGACTTAAATACATATAGTTAGTGAGTTTTATATATTCACATGTACGTGTGTGTGTGTGTGCAATGTACACACATATGTCAGTGAGTCAATTATGTGGCATATGTGCTACATGCTTAGTCGGTCATGTATTTTTTGATACATGACTGACGAGGCAGATTTTTTCCCCGCAGTAGGTTGCCATTTCTTTCTGCGTGTATTATGTATAGCACAAAACTGACTGAGTGATGCATTTTTAAACAAATTTCACTAATTAATTTTCAAAAGTTTTAAATTCCATGTAATTTTTTAAAAATTCTGCATGTAGTTTATAGTAACACAAATGTTCATAATATTTATAGAAGCAAACAGGTGTCACCATTTTCAGTGGTACATTTTAACATGCGAACGGATATAGACTGATTATTTAATAATTATCTTCTGGTTGAAAATTTATGCAAAATAATTATTTCAAAATTGTGCTCTGAGACTGCAATGAAGACATTTTAGCATCTCTCACAGAGGAGGTTTTCACAACCCACTATTATTGAATATTGGTCAAGGTCTAAGAGATCATGCACAAGAATACATATGAATGAAAATCAATATTGTAATCTTTTATATGCCATATTCTTACAGGATGTGAGCGACCAATGCTCTCCACAACTTCCTGTGTTTTATTCTTCTTAGTAACTATCACTTCTTTATTGTCTCCCTTTGTTCTCCTTCTGCTAGATGTTCACTCAAACTTGTCAAGGAGGTTACACACTGTTTTCTCTAGATTCTCTTGCCTTCAGTATAGCATGTAAGTATTAAATTCTCTAAGCTTTCTTACCTCGTATCCCAGAAAATTCAGCTTTTGCTTCCTGATTTTCCTTATAATCATAAGAATTTCTTTATAATTCTTATACTACATAAAACTTTCTGTTGTATCCTTAAAGAAGGTTACAAACAGACAAAGGTGGTACTCAAGGGAAAAGAACAGCAACACGGGTGTAGATAAAAGAAAGAGAGGTTTATTGTAAAAGATAATACCCTACTGAAAAACAGGGAATCAGTTAGAAGGTTAGTAATTTCCAAAACAAGTCTGCCAGGTATATTCTGTGCTTACTATATATATATATATATATATATATATCTACTGATATAGTCAGTCCACATAGGTGATAGGGAGTGTGGGACATTCCATTACAACACTTTCATATTACTCACATTCTGTCGATGGTTTTCTTAGAATTTTTTGGTAGAAACAGATCTGTTTCTTCAAGTCCTTTCTTCAAGTGTGAGAAGATTGTCCAATATTCTCTGCCATATTGGAAATTAGATGCTATATAGCAGTTCTGCAGTCTTCACTTCTTATATAATGTTTCTATCTCTTAATATATTGCTTAGTTTCTGGCAGACATCTCTTACTGTTCCTATGTGCCTTTGGATTTCTGTTTGATTTTAAATTGTCTGTTATTTCAAAACTAAGATAGATAAGTTTCTGCACCTGCTTAATTTTGACATCAACATGTAACTCACAAATTATTCTGTCTCATCTGCTAACAACTCTGCATTCTAGCTTTTCATACTTAATGGTTAGCCTTTTCTTTGTGATTCCCTTTAATACCTTGTCAAGAATTCTTTCATTTTTCTTTCTGAATTTGCCATCAACAGTGTCATCTGTGTACTTTATGTTCACAAAGTTATGTCTGCAAATAATAAATCCTGCTAGGTTTTATAATTATCTTAGGATGATCTTGCTGTACATGTTAAATAAATCTAGTGAGAAAACACGGCCTTGTTTTATTAATTTTTCTATTTTTGTGTATTCATTAAACTCATTCTATCCAAATGCAAGCTGTTTGTTCCCCATGGAAGTTGTGGATGTGTGGGTGGTGTAATGGATAGTGGCTTGGGATAAGAAATCCAAGAGCAGAGTTCAAATTCAGTTGGGTTCGTTACATTCACTTACATGCAAATGCCCTTGGTAAAGGTATAAATCCCTCCTCCACTCCCAGCTATAGGTTAAATGGTAGAACTTGCACCTGGAAAAATGACTGCTATCCCCAAACAATGGTTAATGCAACATTTACATGCAAACAAATAATTATTCTTACAATCAAAAATGTGTTTCATCTTTAACCCATTAAGCTATAAAAAAACAATGTCAGAGGAAGTTACAGATTACTTGAATATTTATCTTGTGCAATTCAAACTTTTCTAATATGTCAAGCAGCTTTTCATGTCATACCCTATCAAATGCCTTTGTGCCATCTAGGAAATATGAGTATAGCTCTTTCTATATTTGTACTGCTCACCCTGATACTTTTCTGACCATAAAATAGCATTTTGTTTCAGTGTCTTCAAAAAATCCATGCTGTTATTGACCTATTCTTGGTCTCATTGTTATGATCTCTAATCATTAAAATCCTAATGTTTTGTTATGTGGCTCATCAAACTGATTGTTTGGTGGAGTTTGCATCCATTTGTGCCCAGTTGCTTTGGCATTGACTATAGATCTTGCAAGGCCTTGCATTTTGTTGTGGTTTTATATTTATCATTTTAATAACCTTATCAATTCTGAAAGCATTTAAGGCTGTCAACATCTCTATAGCCAACCTAGCTTCAGAACCATAGTAACATTAACACTTAAATTTGCAATTTGATTCGGTTAGTGTTTGGCCTATTGAAAAGCTGTGGTTTAAACACTGCTCATATTTGAAAGTTTGGTGTAACAATATTGCTATTCACATTTGAAATATCGCTGTATTTATTAAAACTTGAACTAACACATACTTGTAAAACTCTCAAGAGTTATTTCAAAGATTAACCAAAATAATCCCTAAAATTAAAAGATCACTAGTGATAACAGTGCATACCACATAAATTTGCTTGGCAATTAGAAAAATTTTAATTGCTCAGTGTAATTATATTCAATTTGAAAGAGGCACTGGTTTATCTACTTCCAGAATATCAGTGTAGAAATCTGAAAATCTTTACAGTCTAAATTAAGCTTTATCAATCAAATCACTGACCATTTAAGAATCAAGAAATTCTTACACGATAGCAACTACTTTAATGATTAGGTTATGAAGGCTGAACAGTAATTACTCAAATACTTGATATACCTATATCTTTGTTGCTATACAAGTCTAGTATTAGCCGTTATAGTCATTTCTCAAATATATTTTTTTCTACTATATTAGTAATATCTATGCTTCATGCAAGAAAGTAAAATATTTTAACTAATCGTACTACAGTAAAATTTAAGCATATAAAATGACAGCATTGGAATTTAGCAAAATAAAAATACAGCTTTATGACTAAATGTTAATAACTATTACTAGTTGGTCTTTGTAGCCTAAACAGTAGGGCAGTTGACATGGAAAGATAAAGAGCATCAGCTTAAATTTTGCTAAAGTCTCATTCTATGCTGTTTACTTGACAATCATAAAATATTGAGGGTTAAAAAACAGAAATGAAAGAAAAGAATTAATAACAAGAATCAATTTCTTGCTTTGGCAAAGGATCCACTTCATCTCATAGTTAGTTCAGCTAAATTTTACATTTTTGTTAAAAGAAACAAAAAGATATGATCTGCTTGTGTATTTATAGTTGTTAATTATTTTGAACTAGTTTGAACAACTTTTGCAATAAGGATAAAGTATTTTAGATTTCCCATCATTTAATATTTCTTAGATGACTCAAGGGTTTTTTTTTTCTTCCTCTCTGTCTAAAGTTTTTGGAATTGCAACAGAAGAACCAAAATTCTCTGGGCAAGGAAAGAAAACAGGAATTTTGTATATTTTAGTGCAATTGAAAGATTCTTTTAACTTCTATTGATCTTCACAGTGTGAGGTCAGAGGAATGAACAACCATGAAGATCTATCGCAAAAGTAAAATAAGCACTGAACTAAAAAAAAAAATAAAAGAGAAAATATAAAAAGGGAAGAAAAACAAGTTATCAATGAAAGGAAAAAGAAATTAAGGGTTTTAATAAAGACATGAAAAAGTATAAAAGAGAGAAAAGGAAAAGGAAAACTACATAAAGAAAAAAGAAAGTCAGTCTGAAAGAGAAAAGAAAAGAAATAAAGTTTGTAGAAAAAGGAAGAAAAAAGGTATGGAAAAAAAGAAAGAAAAAGAAGGTAGGAAGAATGATATTAAAAAGGTAATGTACAACACACAGAATAAAACAAGAATGAAAGAACCACCTGCATTTACAGAACATCCGGATAAGGTAATCAGAATAAAAGAAAAAAGAAAAACAATAACACAAAACCCAAATCGGAAGAAGAAAAAAAACAAACAAAAGACAAGAAACAAAGGAAGAAATTATGAAAGAATTGAACAAAGAAGCAGTTTTGAGAAACAGAAAATAGTTCTTCCGATTGGTAAGTTTTGTAAGTCTCAAGGCTTCTTTTGTCAAACACACTGGCAAGGTTCGCACAACTTTAAAGACTTCCTGTTTTTGAGCACTTCCTGCTTCCATTGTTCACCTTATCATCTGCATTTACAACTGATAAGAGAATTGGACTCATTTCTTGCTCTTCTCAATTATTTCCTCTGTTGAGCAGGTGAAGAAGTGCAATGTTTACATGTCTCACTATAAATTATTGAAGCAGCTTTTCTTATGTCTTTCTTGTAGTTTTCTCTCTAAAAACACATGAACAATCTCCATAGCACCACACAAAATGAAAGCAATTACTTAAAGCATCCTTCTCTCTAAAGTGGCTATTTGAACTTTCCCCCCTCACTAAATTTTGTCAATTGAATATACTTACCCAAAAACAATATAAGTATAATGGGGAAGATTTTTAATTGTAAATGAGTGTAATTTATGGAATGTTAAGAAAATGATGAAAAACAGAGGAATTAATTTATTTCATTAATAAAGTTCAAGATATATTTCCCTCATACAAATGCATTCATTTTTAAAATAGTTCTTTTATAGACAAAGATATACTCATCTATATCCATTAATCTAGGGGATTTTACCATTGAAATGGCTATATATAACCATAATTTCTATACTAACAGTTTTTCTCCCACACTTCTTGTTTTCCAGTTAACTTTGATCTTCAAAAATTTAAATGCAATATCAACCATTATCTTCTTAATTCCTTTTCTTATATTGTTCTCTCTCCTTAATAATGTTTTCTTTTTCTCATATTCTGTCACACTCATTAACCCCTTGAATCTTAGTGGCTTTATTGACAAAGTTAAAAAAAAGATACTGCGTATATGAATATGTAAGTCTTTAAATGCATTATTGCTCAATCATTCATGCTACATAAATTTTTGGAAGTATTCGTTTTGAAAGGTCAGTTGGAATTAAGGTTATATGTTAAAATGCAGGGAATGCATTAGCCAAAGCCTAATGATTTAATTAACAAAGACGAGGGATTATCAATGATACATTTTGTGCAGCATCAACAAATACAACAAAATTATGAACATGGAATTCTATTCAGAAATCTAATATGACATTGACCTAAAATAAGAGGGTGCAAAAACAAAAGAGTAAATTAAACAAAAAAATGACTATTAATTTAAAGATAGATATTACTTCTAATTTCTTTGCAGTATTCCTCTTTATAAGTCCCTATAATTTCTTTGTAAATCACAATATCAAATGTATAAATATTACTTTAAATAAAATGAAAAAATAATTAAATATAAATATAAAAATGAGAATTAAATATAAATTATAGAAAATCTGTTAGAGAACACCAATTTCAAGAATGACTCACTTTTCAGTCACCACCTAATCTCTAAGTAATAAAAGGCAACAATAACATTTGTAAAATGAAATAAAGTCATTAAGATCATACCAATTGTAAAACTTTTCTTTTGTGATATCAACGAATATGCGTTGTCACTTTTGTAATGCTCGTGGTAGTAGAGACTTTGTAATTGCAGATACAACGATAGCATGCCATTGAACAATACTGGTGTCAGACACCTTCAAATATCACTTGCACTAACACTACTTGCTCGATAATACGAGCTTGACAAGTAATCCGTGTAGGGATCTGAATAGAATAGAGAATCGCGGTCTGTATAGTAATAGAGGATAGACTAGGAATAGCGATCAATTGGACATCGTGCCACTTCCTACTTATGTGTTCCTCTATGGTTATGTGGTCTACTTAATTCAATAATGAGATTGCCTGTGTTTTCTCACTGGCGATCTATGTTCAAACTCAAGTGTCAGCAGTGACACTTTATTCCTATATAAAAATTTAATAATATTGTAAGCAAACAATTGCTTGGCTCTCTTAGATACAAGAAATAATTAACATAGGATCAATTTTTGGATCTGTGAAATGCTTTTAATTGGAATAAGGACAAACCTTTAAAATACTAAACTAAGTCCTAGGATTTTGTTGAAAGCCTCTTGAATATGATCAAATAAAATAGAGACCTGGAGAGTACACCTGCTGAAATGCAATGATTGAGACAGAAAAGATAAAACTATTTAAAATGTAGAGATTTCTTCTTGATTTTTATAATGTTACTCTTTGTTATTACATTTGCAATATAATCAGTTTCTTTTTCTTTTCTTCTCTATTACCAGACCTTAGACTTTCCCCATCTTCTTTCTTCCTTCCTTTCTTATTATCTTCTGTGATAGCATGTGATCTTTTTGTCTTAATGGTAGAACTTTTGCAGTATGCAATACAATGCATTTATCTTAATAACTGAGAGAACTTTATATTTGAAGACAAATAGACAATTTGTTTAAAGAAAAGAAGAAACTTCATGTAACAGATGTAGTTCTCCTGACAAATATTGAAAATACCATGAACTGAGTATGTGATAAATGTAAAAATTTTAAGAATAGGAAATGGAAGTTTTAGGAAAGTAAAATTCTAGGGACATATGAGGAAAGCATCCACATTAGGCATATTGAAAGCAAAATAAGAGAAAACAATAAGATACTTCACAAGTTTGAATAAATGGATGCAGAACAAGCATGACAAAGATGGGTCTTAAAGGAGAAATAGTGACTAGAGCAGCAAAAGATAGGAAGCCATGTTTGCCCACATCCAGAAATGCATGGCATATAGAAAAAGATGGAAAATGGTTCCTGGAAAGTGGTTGTATTGTAAGGAATGCCTGACTTCTCCAATGATATGCTCTCTTCTCTTCTTGTATCAGATATCCTTGTTACTCTCCCCCTAATGCTGACATGACTTAATTTAATTCATATTCATCATCATTTAACTAGGCATCATCAAATCATATAATTTCAATTCTTCAACCTTATCATAGAACATTCCCGGACTAATTCATGCCACTGAATATAATAGAATTTATATACTTTTAAAATCATTAATATCAAAAGATATAACAGTTATTTTTCAAAACATGACAACACATTGCCTACTTAAAGAAATTTATGGATATATAAGAATGTCTTTTAGGCGAAAATTGTTTCTGACCTTGCAAAAAGCAAAAATGAAATAACCATTATCTTCATCATTGTTGCTTTTAGACTTAGAGTCTACTTTCTTTTTTCTTTTTTTATCAGAGATAATAAAAATCAAACTCTTTATAGTGAGGGCAGTAAGAAAAGTGAAAACAAAAAGCAAATATACTTACTTGAGTTAAAGCTGATCTTAAACAAAAAAAGATAAGTATTCTCTACTAAGTGTTTGAGAAACTATGATATGGAATTGGAATGAAAACAGAGATGGTACGTACCCTGAATCCTTCATAAAAAATGAGGATATAGAATTAGTAAATACTAAACACTTCAGATAACTTGGTGTATGGATCAAATTTAATAAAAAGGATAAGGAAATTAGGTACAGGGTAGGTTTTGTTAGGGATAGTTTCACTCAACACCCCAAATTGCTACAAAACCAAAACATTAAACTAAAATATTCTTGTCAGATTGAGACTTTCATATGGATGTTATACATGGTGCCAAACACATTCAGAAATATTTAAATAGTCAGATGTATACAACCAATTTCTAAGACCAATGGTTAAAAAAGTTTTTGAGCAAGTAAAGCCTGTAAGTCTTGGTGAAGACCATCTTTTTTTTTTATTATTGTGAACTGGTGGTACAGAATCACAAAGAACTGTACCAAATAAGAGAAACCACATCAGTTGAGGACTTTCAACAAAAGTGACAACTAAAATGGATAGCCCATGTAACTCCAAGAGAAAATAATGATATAATCAAGATGTTGACATTCTACACTGCTTCAAATAAAAGGCTAGGTAAGGAAGTCTCCATCACTGCTGGACAGAGCATGAGAACAATTACAAGACTTGAGAAACCTATATTCTTGAAAAATTGTTTCAGAAAAATAACACTAGCTGCTTGGTCAATAAATGCTGAATATATCCTAATAATGAAATGGTTAATATTACCATTACCATCATATAATAAAGAAAACAAGTTTTACCAGAAATAATAAAAGGAAACTTTCTCACAAACTGAAAAACAAGTCTTCTAATAATTCAGCAAATTGTGGATAAAGCAATTCATTTTCATATAACTTTTTTAGTTTGTAGTCTTTGTTTATAAATTTTTAAAACTATGTTTTTCATTGACAATAAAATTAAATTCATAATCTCTTCCCATTTTTCTAATTATGCATAAAAAATTGGTGGAAAATTCTCAGAACTTTTTATCCATCCCTCAAATGTGTGTGTATGTGTGTTAATACTGAGTGTTGGGCTGATGCATTTTATATCATATCAAATCTTGTTTACTTATTGTTGTAGCATACCTACGAACGATAATGCATATGTCCCCTTTCACATAAATACAGTAGTAAATACTGTATGTGGTCTAGAGTTGGAGATACATTGTGGAATTCACTTGACCCACTTCTAGCAGTTGACTAATTCTTCTACACACCACTGGCAAATCTTATACATGTTGTTCTTGTCCTTAGTATTATCATTCATTACCAACCTTTGTGTGATTATTCTATTCAGTAACATTACCCAGATTACAACACTTATTTAATGACAAAGTTTGTTTTATATTAATGTGCATGAGTAAAGATTGATTTATTTTGTATGGCTTATCAAGCTTTTTTAAGTTTATTTAAAGACAGAAAATATTTTTGATTGTAAGAAATTTTCTTTAATTTTGAAATAATAATGGTTTAATGATATGTCTTACTAATTAACCCATATCTTGGGGGAGAAGAGATTGATTTGCACCTTCCCTAAATGTATATTGCACATAAGTGAATATAACAAATCCAATGGGATTTGGAACTTGACTCTTTGATTAACAATTCCGAGCCATTATCCATTACACCAGCTGCACATCCAAGCTTGTAGTATCTGGTATTCTCAAGTGGTCACCCATTGAGGTACTGACTAGACTCAACACTGTTTAACTTTGGTGATCATGTGGGAATCGATGTTTCAATGTGATGTGGCTGTAAGCTCATAAGTAAAGAGTAGACATTGATCGTATTCATACTTTAGTCTATAAGTATTTACTTGGTAAGGAAT